GGACAGGGAAATGACTAAAACTCGATATTTTGGCATATAAAAAAAATACAATGTAAAAGAGACTGCAGACGCGGGTTGATTCGACAAAGTACGAAACACAGTTATATTTTTTCTTATTCTTATGTTTCATTTTTTTTTCATACTTCAGTTATTTTCATAAATTTATTTTTTACTTTTGTTAATACCATGTGGAGATAGGCTACCTTTTTAAAGTGCTATCAACATGGCTTTGAACCTCATCTTCCTCTCAAACTGCATGTGGAAAATACAGTGTGCTCATTTTAACAGGAGAAACCGATTTCTAGACCACCCACAACAGGCCAATTTGTTGCCAATACTAAAAAGAAATTACATGGGCAATTTAATGCCCCTTATTTATAATCTTTTAGGCCCTATGTGTATACACTTTATGCACTCATGTTTTCAATGGTAAAATATTTCAGTTTAAATGTTTTTCGAATAATCTTCTTCCATAATCTAATTCAATCTAGACCTCCTGTGCGGTTTAGCTTTAAAGTTTCAAATGTCTTCTGCAAAAGAAAAAAATCATAGCTTTTTATTAGATACTTCTGGAAAACCTTCCATCCTACTAGTGGCTCTAAAAGTAATGCTATTTGAGCATTAAACACCTCAGAGCAGCTTAACCACCGATCAAATAGACCCGAGGTTAAACCCTTATCTTATATTTTGTGGCTTTGAGTTGTTTGTGCAGGTTAAAGCATCTCATGACCAAAGTTTAATCTTTAAAGTAGCTTTGGTATTAATCAGGAAATCATGATCTATAACCTTAAAGTGTTTTCTTCACGAACGCAGAAATTACTCAAAACGCTCAGAAGATGTTCAACAAACAAAGAGAACATTCAATCTACACAAGCACCCTAATTAACTAATAATTTAATAATCATGTTTAATAAACACAACAGTCCCTTAAGCATGGCACTCTGTTTCAGCGTCTATAAAAACAAAATGCTTGTTTATTAGAGCAGCAGCAATTAAATCTAACTGCAGAATGTGGTGCATCTTCTATTTACACCACAGTGAGTCACAAGTATTGTGATCACACACACAGTTCAGACTGGGCCAAGACCTCACAGGGTCTGGAAATGTCTAATTAATGACTGAATAACCAGGCTTGCTGAAAAGAAAATAACATTAATTTGTAGGTCTAGGAGTTCTCAAATGCTTAAGATTTAACCTTGTATTCCCAGTATACCGATTTAGCATTTCGTTTCCTCTTTATAGTTTTAAACTAAGGGTGTTATGCTACTATTTGTTTACCTATGGGACTACATTTTAATTTATTGCCTGAAGCAGCTTCATCTATCAGCCTCCTATTGAGGAGCAATAGCTCCACTTAAACCCTGTACGTCAGTTATAGAAATCTGTTAAAGTAGGTCTAGCTTGAGCTGCAGCTATTTAAAGTCCTCCTAAAGCTCCACGGAGTCAAAGCGTTTGCTATAAATCGGTCAAACAATTTTAAGCATTGCAGTGAAAGCTAACCAGAGGTGTTGAACTGTGAGCTCAATGGAGCGCATGCACTGGAAAATACCAACAAGGTGGCAGCATATGGTGCCAGATGACTATATCAGAGACTGGCTGTTAGTATTTGAAACAAAGGTAGGAAAATAACTGAAATCAAGCAGCAAATTAAAACAATAACACGTAATCCATCCACATAAAGAAGCAATTAATTCTTTAATGTCTGAGATTTTCAATGATGCACCGACACAAACTGGTGTTTTATTGTAATGTATTTGTGAAGTAGACAGAAAATTGTGTGGCTTAAAAAGAATTTACAGATGCAAAATCTGAAAAATGTCAAGGCTTTTTGCATTTAGCCTTCAATAGTTAAAATCAAGTTCTCACTGGAAATACAACTGCAGTGCTTTTGTGGTGCCATCATTCTTTTGTGGTATGAATACATTTGTGGTATGAATACATTTTAGTCGATTCTTCTTGTCAAATTAGCACAAGCTCAATCAGACCGTATGGACAGCTACTATAAACATGTTCATGTTTACTTCATGATAAATGTTATGTCTTGATAGATCACATGTATTAAAGTTGCATCTATTTGTTAATTTCTTGTTGTTATCCTACTGGATCCATTCTTCCTCATATCTTGTATATCTGCATTAAGTATTCATCCCCAGGTTGGCTCTTTTGCCCCTTTTATCCTTCACACCAAAACGCATGACAGGTAATGTCTTATACGTCTTTGGAGTATAAGTGGAGTTGCTTTCTAGGTACTGTTGAAGAAAACAATGTCTACAATATAATCCTGCCTCATCAAGTTTTACCACATAAATAATGTTAAGGGTGATTTCAATAAACAGCCTACTGCATGTAGGCCAAGAGTATGGTAAGGTGTCAACTAAATAGAGTGCCCATTTGTAATGATTTTCTGGTTCCTCTACAGTTTTTGCTCCAAACCACTTCTTTCTAAAATGTATTTAAAGAATGGAAAAAAGAGAGGAGGAGGGGGTCTGTGAATGAGAGATTGTGCAACGCCGCTCATGTTTACGTGAAGGAACAGATATGCTCCCCAGAGGTGGAGCAACTCGCGGTGAGCATGAGATCATACTATCTTCCATTAGTTTGAGAATGTAATCGTACTCAGTGTTTACAGAGGACCACCAGCAGGGCTGCAGACAGTGACACCAATTTAGCAGACAAGTTAAACAGGTTTTTCACCCGGTTTAACTCCCCTCACACCAGCCCCCTTCCTGTCCTCAACTCTTAACACGTCTCAAACCCCCAGCCTTAGCTACATCTAAGACCTGAGCCTCAGCCTGGGGGTGGTCCCCACTCTCTGGAAGACCTCCTGTGTCGTACCAGCGACCCACACAGCACAACAAGGAACCGGCCCACTTTAGACCGGTCACCCTGACCTCCCACCTGATGAAGACCATGGAGCGCCTCATCCTACCTCACCTGCGCACCATGGTGGCCCCACCATGGACTCGCTGCAGTTTGCTTACTGACCTCACAGTGTAGGATGCCATCATCTACCTGCTGCAACGGGCGCTCATTCACCTGGAGACCACCGGGAGCACAGTGAGTCATGTTCTTTGACTTTTCCAGCACTTTCAACACCATCAGACCAGAGCTGATAAGGGGGAAGCTGGAGGACGCTGGAGTGGACAAACATCTTGCTGCCTGGACCATCAACTACCCCACCTACAACATCAATACCAGTTCTCCAATGAATCGGCCATTGTAGGCTGTGTTTCTGAGGGGAACGAGTATCGGATAACCAAATAGAGTATTGATAGGTCATCATGAATTTTGTGGACTGGTGTGAGAAGAACCACCTGTGTCTTAATATCAGTAAGACCAAGAAGATAGCGATTGACTTCAGGAGAATTCAACATATATCTTGGTAATATATTTGTCTATTGTTTCGTCTTTAACCCCGCCCTGGCAGGATATAGAAACTGTGGAGAGCTTCAAATACCTAGGTGTTAAAGTCAATAATAAACTGGACTGGACTCATAACACTGACATCGAGTTCCTGTACAATAACTTATTTCTCTATATTTGACACCCAGTGCAATAATTATATATATATATAAATTCCCATCTATATGAATACTCATGTTAATAGCCTGTGCAATAATCATGTATAATAATGTATAAAAAATAAGAGACTTTATACTGTATATTAGAGCTGGGCGATATGGCGATATATATCGTGAGGACGATAGAAACATGTCTATCGTGACCTTTCTCCTCTATTTTTTCTATCGTGATAAACTTTTTTATTTTATCTTAACTTTTTTTAGCCAAGATTCTATACTGTTCACTGTCATGGCCGCAAATTGCATAACTGGTGTTCTTGGTTTGAGGTTGGGATTCTCATATTAGGAAACAAGATGATGGGTAAAAAATAGGCAATGAAAGATTTTTTTCAACCCTGTCCATCTGACGGACTATGAAAACATAAAATGCAACATCAGTTGTGGCATATCGTGATATATATCGTTATCGTGATATAAAATAATCCATATCGTGATATAGTTTTTTTTCCATATCGCCCAGCCCTACTGTATATACCCCATGCACCTTTACTCTTTTTGGCACCTTCATCTTTCAATAGGTTTAAAACAGTACTTTACTTTGATACTCAGCAATTGTTTACACAACTTGTTATGACCCCCTCCACATGCTTCACCTCCTGGTGTGTACCTTGGTTTCCATGCTATTTGTTCACTGATATTCTCTGAGCCAATCACAGAGGAAAAGGTGAAACAGTTTCAGGAATGCTTCAGACAACTGATCATATTGGTCTATGTAAGGTATTAACACTAAAGGGAGCTGAATACAGATTTTACTTTTTAAAATTCTCCCACTTTGTGTTGGTGTATCACATAAAATACCTTTGAATTGGTATAGAAAGGGTGTTTAAGTCAAAATGGTATGAAGCTATTATCTATTAGCTAGTATCTGCTATTATCTGTCATTATTTATCCCGTATTATAACCCCACTACTACTGTATATATATCATCCATATCCTACCTTTCCTGTATAATCTGTTTATAGGTTTTATATATATTCTTTTTATAGCCTCTTACAATTACTATCTATATATATATATGTATATAAATATATACCATTTATAGTCCATACATACATAGTCTCTGTGCACGTGTAAATAAATATTTATTTCCTGTATAGCACTTCCAGATAGATGCAAACTACATTTTGTTGCCCTGTACTTGAGGCAGTGTAATGACAATAAAGTTGAATCCTATTCTAATTTTATTCTAAGCAGGGCGGTGATGGCAGTCTTTAACACCTTTGATCATGCGTCACAAATGCAATAAATATCATACTGAATAATTTGTACAAGAATGACTACAGAACACATTTTGAAGATATCCGATACAATTTTTCAAGCAAATAATGTAATTCAAAACCTTCTAAATGAATCAATTTATTCAGACAGTTGAGTTATAATAACGTCCAGCATTAGAGCATCACAGGGATTTGCACTTACTGGCTTCTTAAGGAAAAACAAAGACAGTCCTCCAACGAGAGGCACGTCCCCCAGCAAGGGCTCCATCACTACCCTTAGCACGCCATGGATCTATGGAAACACAGGACAGAACAACAGTAAGACATCCAGACATGCAAACGGGAGGCTTAGTAAAGCTAGAGCTTGGCATTCCTCAGCGGTTGAGCAGCCGGAGCTGGAACACATGACAGGCTGGGAACTTGATCGCTGCCTGGCTTTGCACCTTCCAGCTTTGCTTTCCACATTTGCTGTGTCATTTTTATTCAAATTATTAGGACTATATGTTTTTTTGTTTTTGTTTTCTTTTACTTTTTTTTTTTTGGGGGGGGGGGGGGGGGGGTTAAAACCTGCTGAAAAAGTAATATAAAAGAGCAGTTCATTTCTTTCATTATTTCTTCTTTTTTATATTCATAATACTCAGAGCGAGACAATATGTGCACCTAAACCGAGACTTTACAGTATTTCGTTCAGTCGGCAACATAAAATAAAGCTATTTAAAAGATATGAAGTACAGATAAATAAGCATAATATGAGTGGGCAAAATTATCTCACCTTTGATGTGTAACTAACAGTTCCTTTTACATCCCTATTATGGAGGTTTTATGGTCACAATGGGTTTTCATCAGAGATTCAGGCAAACTTTTTTAATAGAGCAGTATAACAACAGAAAAAGTGATCTTCACTAACATAGGGTAATTGATATTTCTTTTTTTTTTCAATGGCTCCATTTAGAAAACTAAGAGGACTTAAAATCAATACAGCATTAGATTTATTAGAGGATTAAAAGATAATCTGCATAAAAGGCTAATTACACACAATCAATGACCAACAGGATTTAATCCAAACCCTCCTGAAACAAACAGTGACTTAAAGTATGAATTGTTCATAATGACTGTAGGGGGATATGCTCTATGCAGGTCTGCATGAGCTAAATAACAGGCATAGGGTGCAATTAATGTTACCCGGGGGAAGATATAAAAACCCTTGGAGGAATATTGCAGATCTCTCCTTCCGCCTAATGTTCCTCAACAGCTAAACCCAGAGCCACTGAATCAAATGATCAGCACATAGAAATGCAGAGAAAATGGTTTTAGTAACATTATCTTAATAATGTTAGTTCTATATAAGATGCTACAACCTTTACCTTTACTTTGCTGTTAGAAAAATGCACATCCGCCCAACACTTTCCTTGAGGCTGCTGATCATTGGGTAATTATCAAAACCTTTGAAAAATCCCACACATTGATCAAAATTGGGGTTATAACTTAGTTGAAATATTGGTCCGTGGTGGACTCTGGGGCAGATCAAAGGAGAGGAATGCTCACCGGTACTGCTCTGATGAAGAGAGAATAGTCTAGATGTTTTTATGGAAAGTTACATGCTATGTTTACCTCTGGGGGAACACCATACACAGTAGGATATTGGGCCAAGACAATCCATCTTGTTGGATTTCCCTGATTTGAGATCAGAGGAGTCATTATGTTCCACAAAATAGAGCAAATTAATCCTAACACACAAGTAGGATTATTTCCTCGATAGCAGAACCTCTCCAAAAGAGAACATCAGAGCCGAATTTAGCTCAAATATCTTGCTGTGTAAATCCCCCTTTACATTTTTATCTTTATTTCAGGGTTATCCAGCTTTGTAGCTCAAGGAGTAAGTGGAGAAAAACTTTGACTTAGAAATTATTGGTAAAATTTTAGAAATTCAGGTCTATAATAATTTCACGTGTTCCCATTTAAATTGCTAAACTAACACAGGCTATTTGCAGGGCCATATTATCTTGATCTCTCTAGCCTCTGGTGAAACTGTTTTTAGAGTTCTTTGGTGTTTCTGATTACCTGATCCTGACCTGTTCTGCTTTTCAACAACTGAACCTGTCTGTTCCTGTTCTGATCTGTTTGCCCGACCTCGCTTGGGACTCCTGCATGTTCTCCAGGACTGCAGCATCTAGGACACTGTGGGCAGCACCCACCACATCTTGTTGGCAGCCCACCGGCTGGATCCTACATTGTTCTCTGGCAATGGACTGAACTTGTAAACCAGGTTAGTGACTCACATGGATAATTATCCTCTGTCAGATTATCATGACCACTAACCTTTGTTTCTCTCCTGCAGAGTGTACTGGCTAAGGTGTGGGCAGTGCTATCCAAACATTGAATAAAAAGTTTCACTATTGTCTGATGGGTCACTGATATGTCTGCATTTTGCTGGGGCGGGCGAACATCCTTGGACTCACTGTCAGAATCTGAGCCGCTTCCTACCTTGTCATCCTCATCAGTCTCTCCATGTCCGCCCAAAACACTATCATCAATAATTTGAAGCATTTCTAAAGCCTATTTTGGTGTTTGATGTTTTTTGAAAGCCATTTTTCTGTATTAGCCAAAGAGTTCTAGGTAGAATTTTGGTTTCTAGGCAACGGCATTATTTTTGACGTTTTAATTTTATCGAAAAAAACTACATGACAATGAAGGAAATATAGAAACAAGAAAACTCAGTTAACATGAACAACATATGATTAATGTAAATAAAGTTCTATCCCTTTAAAATCTTAAAACCTTCAAAATGACGGTTTTGGGAGTTCTAGGCCATTTCTCAATAGGGGGTTTTCAGTGACGTCACTGGCCAGCTCCCGGTCCGCCATCTTGGGTGGCATATTATCGTATATTAAATATATCATGTTGCGAAAGGATAAGTACGCCAGCACGCTAGAGCCACCAGATCATGGAACATATCTGAGGAAATGTTCCGTGATCGACCATATGGAGCCCTATGCCCTCCACGGTGCCTTGTTTAGCACTAATCCAGATGATTGGCCAAATGTAGAGCACGGTGACATAGTTCATTACCCGGTGTTCAGTGAAAACCCTCTGCACACTCTTGAGGAAATGAGAGCGTACAAGGGTCTAGAGGCTCACAACCAGTTCACATCTGGTTGGGTACGAGATGTCGAAGTGATGTACATGAAGGAAATCGCCATCATACGTGGACGGGTGAGTTTTAATAAGATGGTAAAAATGTAAAGAATCCGAAGCAGGGCTCGTTATGCTAGGTGGCTAACGGCCGGCGGTGCGCGAACAGTTCCAAAGCTACAAGTCCTTGGAGTCTCATGTGCAGTTTACGAATGGATGGGTTCAGGAGCTGCAGCTCATAAAGCCAGCAAACAGTGCTAACCGTTAGTGCTAACAACCACTCAGGCATGTAATGTACTTTTAACTAGCTGCTATGTGTTTCAAAGGTTTGGTTAGTAACGTTAGCTGCCAAACCTCCCTAAACCCTCCGGGTTTCTCACATATTTGAGCCTTTTCCCGCTGGTTGAAATCAAGTTAAGGTGAAATTAATCAAATTAAAACACGGCTGAGAGAGGGAGTCCAGTACGCGGTAGTCATAGGCAGTAGTCTGAGTAGCGGCGGCGGAGGCAGTCAACATTGCGGCCACGGAAAGTAATACGTCATGACGCCCAAGCCCTATTATTAATATATTCTTACATGTTTTAAATGCTTGACAGTTAATTTAGAGTTTGGGTCATAATGCTGAGCCATTTGCATCAATTACTGCACGAGTATAACATAGAGGCTTTTATTTTGTAGGGTCACTGGAGTCTTATTTTGAAAGTCTAGCAGGGTTGTGTGTTGAGAAAATTACCTGTGACAAAGTGAGCACTGCAGACTCTGGCGTGTTCCAGCTTAACACCGTCCAAATTGGACCTGGATATCCGTGTCAGCCATAGGTGACGGCGTTGTTCAGATAGCTGTTTTGTTTTTTCACATTGATTCACGATTACGGCTGGTATGCGATAGAAAGAGCATTGATCTCCACCTCCACGGGCCGTACAACCAACAATTACACACGATTTCACCATTTTTCACTGTCAATACTGCCTAAGGCTGCCACCCAATATGGCGGACGCGCTGAGTAGTCACATGAGCGTGACGTCACCTGAAAACCCCCTATTCACAAAAATGTGAGTACAGACTTGTGTCCTTGCCAAGTATGTTCTTGAGAAGAACACAGGAAAGTATGGACTTTGGGAGAATGGGGACACGCAGTATAAAGCTGGGTCAATTGGAACAGAAGTGTACTCGTGAAGTCACCACATGCCCGGCTCGAACAGAGCTGCATTTCACCTCCTGTTATTAATAGTCTCTAGATAATAATAAATTCCTACTTTTTTCATTTTAGTGGCGGAATGATAATTAACAAATCAATGAACATTTTCCAGAATAAAACAAAAAAATTGCCATCAAAAGCAGCGGTACTTCACACACGGCTATGCTGTGATGGGCTGCTGATGAGGGGCTGAGGTTAGCCCTGGCTGCCGTTACCCTCGGAGGTCCCCTGGTTGCTGCAGTCCTCTTGACTTCTGATTTTTTTTTTCTTTTTAATTACGCATTAAATCGGTAAAAGGGCCATATAGTGACACTTTAAAGTATAATATTCTCACATCAAATGATCTTAAAATGTACTTTTACTGAACAACAGCAACAGAAAATAGAACTTTTAACTTAATACCCTGAGCTCTGTGAGCGCTCCATTGAAAGCTGCTGCTGCCGAGGTGCATGCTGGGTAAGCTGTCAATCTCAAGAACAGACAAGTCTGTTCTGATGCATACGAGAAAATACGAGGTGAGAACAACATCCTTTGTCCGTTCTCGGTCTGCTGTTCTTGTGAATTGCAACAGTACTACATCCTCCTTCTCACAAATAAAGCCTTAAATGGCCAAGCTCCATCAGAGATATGATTGTTCCTTATGTCCTTACCAGAGCACTTCGTTCTCAATCTGCAGGTTTGCAAGTGGTTCCTAGAATTTTTAAAAGTAGAATGGGAGGCAGATCTTTTAGTTAGGCTCCTCTCCTGGGGAACCAACAACCAGTTTTAAAAATAGACACCCTATCTATTTTTAAGACTAGGCTTAAAACTTTCCTTTTTGATAAAGCTTATAGCTAGAGTGGCACAGGTTATCCTGAGCCATCTCTATTGTTTTGCTGCTATAGGCTTAGGCTTCTGGAGGACATAGGGACCCCCATTTCATCATTCTGCTTCATTCCATTTCTACTCTCCCACTCTGCAGAACCTGTTCAAGTCATCTCTATGTCAAGTATTTGTTCTACCCAGCCACTGAAGCAGGTGAGTCCAATCTTCACCGTGAATTAACCTGTGCAGATTGGACTCACCTGGTTAATTGGCTGGGTAGAGTAAATACATGACATGGAGATGACTTGTTGACTCCACATTGCCCATGTCTGGTTCAACCTCCAACGTTATGCTCTCTCAGCTTTTTCTCATAATAGCTTCGCCTCGTCTGTTCCTGTTTCGCTGTGACACCATCCTGGAGAGAAATATCAGCTGTGCTGCTGCCATCAACACCTTTATTTATAGATGTTCGAGATTTGCCTGTTTTCTAGTGTTGTCCTGTTTCTCTGACTGTGGCTCGCTGGATGTGCTCTCTTCATCCTCTGACATGGGAGCTGGCTCAGAGCTTGTCTGTCTGGCTGTGTGTTTCCTGGATAGGGCCGCCTTTTTACGGTTGTTTTTTGTGTCTCTGCTTCTGTCTCCTTGAACCCCAGTCGGCCTCAGCAGATGGCCGCTCACACTGAGCCTGGTTCTGCTGGAGGTTTCTTCCTGTCAAAAGGGAGTTTTTCCTCTCGACTGTCACTACAAGAATGCTTAGTGTGAGGGATTGCCTTTGAGTCAATAAGTTGATGTTTTCCTTAGATAGAAAACTTTGAATCAGTTTGACTGTATGACCTGGTTGAACTGTAAAATGCCTTGAGATGACGTGTTGTGAATTGACGCTATATTTATAGACTAAATTGAAATTACTAGGGCAGAGGCTGATGACGTTTCATGAGTACATGAGCACATGAGAAAGCACAAGTACACATATTGAGAAACTCCCCTAGTCTTAACCCCACACTGCTCCCCAGGCGCCACACAATGGCAGCCCACTGCTCCCAGAGGGGATGGTTTAATTCAGAGGTAAATTTCTCCAATGTGAAAACAATAAAGTTCAATTGTTGTTGTTATTATTATTATTATTATTATTATTATTATTATTCAGGATGTTGTGAAGTAAAATACAAATAATAAAAAGATGGTTAAAATGTAATAAATTTGCAGAGAATGCGATTTCTTAAACAGGTGACTTTAGAGTCTTGATCTAAGCAGAAGAACAAAGTCAATATTACAGATGTCTGGTGGGTGGGTTTCCCGTATTTGGGAAACGTAGCGACTCCTCATGGTGCTGAGAATAGTGAATGGCATGATGAGGTGAATGAAGGTGAAACACCTAAGAGAACGGATTGGGGGGTTGAGATCTGACAGAAATAAATGTGGTGAGGCTATAAAATGCTTAGAACATGTGTGTGAAAGAAAAAATCTCTTCTTTATTAAGGAAACTGTCAGAGGATAGAGGGGGACATAGTTGAAAGACAGTTTAATAATGATGACTGTGGAATTTTGAAGCATTGGACCCTTTGGGAAGATTATTTTTTTTTTTAACAGAGCCAAACGGTGAGCTGTGAGAATATCTGGGGGATTTTAAACTGGGTTTATCTGCAGAAATCCCTTCAAACATTAAATGCGGAAAGAGAGAAAATAGGAAAATTTTTTAGGGTAGGACAGTCATAGATTACTAACACTAACTTTGATGTACCTTATATTTTCTCTCTCTTAGCAAACAATGTTTGGGAGATAACTTCTGTTTGCTGCTTATAAAAAGGTCATGTATGTTCATTAGGTTAAATTAAATCCCCCTTTTTTCAGAAAACAATGATCATAGGGTTTAACAAATATGCCAATTTATTAAAACTCTATTCTTAGTATTATATTTAAAAAATGTATGCATGTTAAGGGTAACATACAAATGTAATGCACAGGAACAAAATACTAGACAACGTAATATTTTGCACTGATAAAAATATTATTTTAATCAGATTATTCTATTACTTTCATATTTTTATTTGTAAGTAAAATAAAAAAAGTTATTGCTTTATTAAAACATAAAATGAGTTTGGCACTAATCAGTGATCATCTATTGTGGGGGTTTTTATTAGACTATAATGGTTGTATTGTTATAATCTTTTAAAATATCTAAATATAATAAAGTAAAGAGAAAAATCTGTGACTGTAAGAATCAAGCAGCTGTTTGAATGCCTGACTATGTAGGTATGACAATAATTGTTGTCCTAAAATAATTCTGGGCTGATATTACTTACAGAAAACACTTGTAAATTAAAGACAGCAACACAACCTCTGCTTCATATTTTTTATTAGCCGTTGTATACTGTTTGAAAGCTGCTGCAGAGAGCGAAGCTCAAGAGAAAGAGAGAAATTAGTTAAAACCAAAAGGATTTTTCTCACCTGGATGCTCTTGATCCCAGCTTTGCAGTAGTAGCGCTTAATGTCCACATCAATCTCAGTATTCCCAACAAAGCTGAGAAGCAGGAGAAAAACGTCAGGTATCCATCACTTTTTAAACGTTTTGTTAAGATCTTGATTTATTTACTCTAAGCTTTTTTTTTTTTTTTTTTTAAAAGGATTTTCAAACACTGAAGCTATGCATCAAAGCCACAACCACTCAAGAAAACTCACAGATTATCATTTCATCTTGTTTTGACCTTATAAACCTAATATAATCAGGTTTGCCTGATGGTCTAGTACCAAAAGACTGCAAAATAAATGTCTTTTTATGCAAGTTGGACAGTGCTTAAGTCCCCTTTAAATTTTGAAATGAAAATGACAAAAATACAGTTGCTGCTAAACTCAGTTTCATCATTTAGAGTAACTGCTATTATACCAACTAAGCATCACATGGACCAAACAGTGTAGCTTAAAAGTAATGAGGTGATCAGTTCCTTGAGCAAACAAATTTTAATCAGTCTATCTTGCTTTTCTTTATCGTATTCAAAACATCCTCTGAAAGTTCTAAAACAGAAAATGAACTTTTCTATATTAAAAAACTATATAGGGCATTGATCAAAGGTGTCAAATGTATTTATCTTTATTGCTCAAGTAGAAGTATAAATCTTACAGTTAATTTTTTTTGTAGATGTTCTTGCATAAAGATATGGAAGTAGAGCTAAGTGATAATCAATTTTCTGGTTAGAAAGATTTAATGTTTAAAATCTGGATTTTTTTTTCAGCTGATGCTCTTCTTTGGGCTTCTATAGCTTTGAATGTGTTCAGTTCATCACTTTTTTTCCTAAGATGTCTTTTCATGAGTAATAAACTTCCTCACTGTTTAATACCACTAGCTGCAAACATTTAGTGTGCTGTATTTTCATTGTTTCCATTCAACATGATTGCTTTTCAGCCATGTTTTACAGCTCGAATTTCATGGCTCTTTAAATTAAGGTCATCTCTCAGAAGGGATGACTGAAATAGAAGCAGTTTTTTGAGGGTAAGTTGTGATTTTTTATCATGAAACTTTAGGGAGAAAAAAAGGGGAGATACATTTTTTAATACTACAACTATTAGAAATCTGATACCTCTAGAACTCCTACTGGCGTCACTTTGATAGGAGACGTTCTGCCCAAAAGAAAGCAAGATTAGTGATGATGGCATCGGCTAAAGTGGTTCTAGTGTTTTATATCAGCAAATTATGAATATGTAGACCTAATATTACAGTCTAAAAACAGAATTTGATCACAGCCTGATATATATGCCATCATTATTTATAGTCTAAGATTACATTAAAGATAAAACTGTCAAATCTAAGATCAATGACTGCTACCGGCTAACTTGCCTCTTTATAACAATATGTACTGGTCTCTTACTAAGCAGCTGTTAGTCAAACAACGACTTTTCTAGCTTGTATTGTATTTTAAGGAGTAGAAAATGAGAATTTTAATCAGAATTAAATTCACCTTTAATGACCCAGTTTATGAGCAAAGCAAGTTAGTCTTAGAAATATTTCACCCAGATTCATATAAATGACATACAGTAAAAAAAATTTCAATTAATTTTTTTTAGATCATTTTAACACAAAGCTATTAAATAAAGCTTCCATGATCCATATTCATTTTATCATAAAGCCTGTTTATTTGAAATATATAATCATCGGGTTTCTGTATTTAGTAATAATAAAGTATACTTACTCAAAAACTAATACTAATGAGTGTATTCATTTCAAATGAATAGTTTATGGTTTGAATTGCATAAAGGTAACCTGATTATTATGCAATAAAAAAAATAATAACTTTATATATTTGAAATAAACACAATTCGTAAATTATTTTGAGTAAAAATACTTCTACTTCTGATTACATAAACCTTACAGTAGTGTATTTTAAATAAATAGGCCGCATAAAGAATCATCTATGGTAATGTTTATTTAATAGGTTTGTTTTTAAATTATCTAAAAAATGTAAATATTTTTGTCTATTTCACTTTGGCATTCCTTTGCTCACATCATAATTAACAGACAAAAAACGACCCATGGTTATGAGAAGAGTAGTATCCACTGTATTGACTCACCTGATCTGCAGGTCCATGATGATCTGCCTCCTATCCACATTTTCTGTATAAACCTTGACCCCATTGATCCTGAGTGGCTAGAAAGTAACCAAGAGAACCATTATCAGAATCAGAATCAGAAATACTTTAATAATCCCAGAGGGAAATTACTTTTGTTACACACTCCAGTTAAAGTTTTATATGATATATATACACACACTACAAAATATAATAAAGATAAAAATAAGAATAAAAAGAGATAAAATATATACACATATACACTATATTGCCAAAAGTATTTGCTCACCCATCCAAATTATTGGAATCAGGTGTTCCAATCACTTCCATGGCCACAGGTGTATAAATTCAAGCACCTAGGCATGCAGACTGTTTTTACAAACATTTGTGAAAGAATGGGTCGCTCTCAGGAGCTCAGTGAATTCCAGCGTGGAACTGTGATAGGATGCCACCTGTGCAACAAATCCAGTCGTGAAATTTCCTCGCTCCTAAATATTCCACAGTCAACTGTCAGCTGTATTATTAGAAAATGGAAGTGTTTGGGAACGACAGCAACTCAGCCACGAAGTGGTAGGCCACGTAAACTGACGGAGCGGGGTCAGCGGATGCTGAAGCGCATAGTGCGAAGAGGTCGCCAACTTTCTGCAGAGTCAATCACTACAGACCTCCAAACTTCATGTGGCCTTCAGATTAGCTCAAGAACAGTGCGCAGAGAGCTTCATGGAATGGGTTTCCATGGTCGAGCAGCTGCATCCAAGCCATACATCACCAAGTGCAATGCAAAGCGTCGGATGCGGTGGTGTAAAGCACGCCGCCACTGGACTCTAGAGCAGTGGAGACGCGTTCTCTGGAGTGACGAATCGCGCTTCTCCATCTGGCAATCTGATGGACGGGTCTGGGTTTGGCGGTTGCCAGGAGAACGGTACTTGTCTGACTGCATTGTGCCAAGTGTAAAGTTTGGTGGAGGGGGGATTATGGTGTGGGGTTGTTTTTCAGGAGCTGGGCTTGGCCCCTTAGTTCCAGTGAAAGGAACTCTGAATGCTTCAGCATACCAAGACATTTTGGACAATTCCATGCTCCCAACTTTGTGGGAACAGTTTGGAGCTGGCCCCTTCCTCTTCCAACATGACTGTGCACCAGTGCACAAAGCAAGGTCCATAAAGACATGGATGACAGAGTCTGGTGTGGATGAACTTGACTGGCCTGCACAGAGTCCTGACCTCAACCCGATAGAACACCTTTGGGATGAATTAGAGCGGAGACTGAGAGCCAGGCCTTCTCGTCCAACATCAGTGTGCGACCTCACAAATGCGCTTCTGGAAGAATGGTCAAAAATTCCCATAAACACACTCCTAAACCTTGTGGACAGCCTTCCCAGAAGAGTTGAAGCTGTTCTAGCTGCAAAGGGTGGACCGACGTCATATTGAACCCTATGGATTAGGAACGGGATGTCACTTAAGCTCATATGTGAGTCAAGGCAGGTGAGCAAATACTTTTGGCAATATAGTGTAGCTCTTCTGTATATAAATATGTATGTATATATATGCATATGTAAAAACTAAATCCAAATATAGTGAATATCCAACTAAAGTGATAAATCCAAGTAAAGTGATAGGTGGCTTGCAAAAATAGTGCATAAATGTCAATTGGGGGGGTTCTGAATCACTTGAGGGAGGCGTTATAGAGGTTGATGACCACAGGTAGGAAGGATTTCCTGTGGCGCTCTGTGGTGCATCTGGGTAAAAGGAGTCTTCTGCTGAAGGAGCTCGTCTGCTGGATCAGTATGTCATGGAGAGGATGTGAATAATTGTCTAAAATGAACTGAAACCTGGACAGCATCCTCCTCTCTGCCACGGTGGTCAGGGTGTCCAGCTCCTCTCCCACAACATCACCGGCCCTCCTGATCAGTTTTTTCAGTCTGTTGTTTTCAGCGACCCTCAGCCCACTGCCTCAGCATATGATAGCAAAGAAGAGCGTGCTAGCAACAACAGACTCATCTTTCTAGTCCAGTCCAACTTATTGTTAAAGTACACTCCAATTATGAGAACCACATCAATCCAGCTGATTAACTCTATGACAAGACTCCCCCTCAACTCTCACACGCTTGGCACAAGGTCAGCCTCTTTTCCAACTCCCCACCCACCCATCAGTGGAAACTATTTGTGACACTGACCTCCCTGTCATGTATTTTCATGTTCCAGTTAGAACCTCCCCCACTGTGAGACAGCACCTGTTGACAGCGACCTGTTTTGAATCCACTGTCACTTTATGTTACACTCACTGTATTTCCTATGTCGATCTTGCTGAAGCAGAAGGTGCTTAGATGGGCGTGGCACTCCTTCACCGCCGGCTCGATTGTCTCACGGAACAGTTTTTCCACGAACTGGGAGATGTACGGCCACATCTGTCTCACAGTCTGAAGGGAAATATACACAGGAATTGCTTTAAAAGCAAGATTACACATGTTTTTTGTATACATTGCTGCAATGGCTGTGCTGAGATGGACATATGGGTTAAAAATATTAAAAATATATTTCTATTTTAAGGAGACATGGTCAAATTATTCTCATCAACGTGGATTTCAGAGCATGCAATTTGTATTCTCAATCAAAAGCCCTCCGCTATTTCAATATCTAATCATGCTTGACTCTGAATGTACATTTTGGTGGTTGCCTTGGCAACTCACAAAGGTTACTGCATGCTGTTCACAGTGGTCTAGGGTAAAAAAATCCTCCACATTTTTAGTGAAATTTGCTGCAGTGTGAAAGATCAAATAGGGAGAGGAAATGGTGGTGAGGTAACTTGCACTCCATTCAGCCATCTTCATAAAGAAAATTAAAAGGGAGGATTCCCTAAAGCTAAGAAAACAAACAATAAAGCCTCTCATTCATTTTACCTTGTTTAACCACTCCACACGCTCTACATCTGGGAAGTGAACCTACAATAAGAAAAAATGAAAGAAATAATAATTTTAGGACACACTAAGCTTAAATGTTAGAGATACACAGAAAGATCATTTGCTGACCAGAATCAACATTTATAGTGTTTTTTTGTTTTTGTTTTATTGCATTTATAGCATATTATTACATGGAATTAAATAGAGGAGTGTTGGCCTATGGGTTAAAGCAGTGCGCTTGTGCTCTGAGAAGGTTGCAAGTAGCCAGTTCCATCGCCACAGCCTGCACTCTGGGTCCCTGAGCAAAACGTTAACCCCACACTTCTCCCCGGGCGCCACACAATGGCAGCCCACTGCTCCCCAAGGGATGGGTAAAATTACAGAGAACAAATATCCCCATTGTGGGACAATAAAGGGATTTACATTGACATTTATTGGGATTGGTGTATCAGGGTCTATATCATGTGCTAAAGCTACTATATCGCAATAAAGAGACAAAGTTCTTCAGTGTGGAAGAGGGAGATTAAAGTCAGATTTAGCTGGAAATTGTTTGAATTTGAAGAAAGGAAACAAAAAAAGCTGTCAGAAGGTATCAGAAAGAAACCCATGCTATCTAAGGAGGCATGGGAGCAGCTTTTTAGAGTCGCCATAACAAAGAGTTACTCTTAGGAAGGGTTTGGCCATTTCAACCAGCTTCCCTTTTGTTCCTTTAACTGTAGTAATTTTATGCTTTAAGTTCTGGAAATTTCAGAGTGAAAACAAGATGAACAACATTTTATTGGGAATATAAAAAGAAACTGCTGTTCAAGGTTAGCAAAGCCAATCAAGCTATTCACTGATACAAGAAACTAATGGTGCAGACTGCAAACTGATACTTATTAAAAGAACGGATGAATGGAAAGGTTTGGATCCCTCAGGCATTCAACAAATAAAAATTTACAGCGATGTTTACTGAGCTTTAGAACTCAAACTCCTTTCATTTTTTCTTTAGGCCTCTGAGTTCACTGGCCAAGCTCTGCAATCTAGATAAAAAACTAATGCAGTTTGGTTTTAGGCCTTATCAGGATCTTTAGGTTCCGCTGTCTTACTGAAAAAATATTCAAGCTTCCTCATTCCGCTTTTGTTTTACTTTCTGATTTTCACCATGCAACACTTCATCAATCACTGCTTTTTAAGCACATCTCTGAATTGCACTGATTTACTCACTAACATATTCAGTGACATTATTTGAGTTAGACTGTCGGAAAAATCAGTTTGAGATTTTTTTTATGTTTTAGAACCAAAAAATGGGCTTAATTGATGCGAGTGGCTTCCAAATTAGATTTAACAAGTGATGCAGCTGAAGCAAGAGAAAGAGCTATTTCTCATGACAATCATTTCAAAGTACAGACAGTGAAGTGCACAACAATGGGAGCAAGTTTCAATTGATAATAACAGGCATATAGTGATTAATAGCAACAAGACTGTACGGTAGAGGCCTTCAAGGATGGAAATACTGTTTTTATCTAAACACAACCTCACCGAGGTGATGCCGTCTTATAAAGAAATTTTTTCAAACTTTGTCTACCACTGATCTGTATTCATTAACCAAGGTTCATTTCTAGGACTTCTCTTTTGGAGTCAGAGATGTTATGAAATGATCTTGCATCTCTAACACAATTCTATTTTTATATCTAAAGCAGCTTTGGCGTTGGTTTGGATTAGGGGTGGAACGGTTCACAAAACCGTTCGGTTCGATTCACGGTTTCGTGGTCACGGTTTTCGGTTCGGTATATGTTGATTGTTACACCAAAATCCCATAAAATTTATGAAATTAATGAAATAATCCAAAAAAATTAATGAACTGTAATTATTTTTAATGACCCGCGGAAACCCTGGATCATTTCCGTTTTGCTGCTTTGAATTTAATCATCTCGCGCATGCCCTCTACGATCTCCAAGGAACTCAGAGCGGAGCGGAGGGGAGCCACAGTGGAGGCTGAAGGTTTTGCTTTGTGCAGGCGGTTGCAGTACCGCCACCTTCTGCTCTGGAGTGTAAACGCTTCGCTTATGAGAAAAAGGAGCAGCGCATGAACTGAATGCAACACACACGAACCGAACCGAGACAGTCGAACCGAACTGAACGATGGAACGGTTTTACATAAACCGTTCCATCCCTAGTTTGGATGTTATATATTTATATCATATAAATATATATATATATATATTAGTGCTGTCAATCGATTACATTTTTTAAATCGCGATTAATCGCATCAATGCCTGAGTTAACTCGCGATTAATCGCATTTTAATCGCAAATTTTTTTTATGATTGAAAATCATTTAAATACTCTCGATGACATACAAAAAATACATACAGGCTAGGTTTGTGCCAATGTTCTTTTTTTTAAATAAAAACAGGTCACAGACACTGATTTATGCCATAGAAACATATGGCAAGAAGATGGGGAGGCATGTAGCAAAAAATAACAAATATGTAGCCAAAAAAAAGGCCCTGAACAGGCTGATGTAAAAGACAGTCTTTACAGTTAATACAGTCTTTTGAACAAAGACAAGGATTTTACCCTACTGCTGTAAAATGTGGTACAGTTAATATTAGATGTCAATTAACCAAGGTAATAATGAACAATTTTCAATCAATACATCAAAATCAATAGACCGACATCACTAGATGGAGGTAGTCTATGCTCTAGAAAGTTACTTTTCAGCCTCTTAACAAAAATGAGAACACACACACAAGCACCCACCCACCCACCCACACACAGACACACCCACTCACACACACACACACACACACGATACCGACCTGTGGCGTACACAGACAGCAAGAGTGCCGTAGCAGATTCCATTTCACCTCAGTAATCTGTTTTCTCAGCGTATTTCAGGTTGCTACTAGTTACCAGACACTCAACTTGTTTGTTGGTGGTGGGGCTTAAAGAAAAGGCACTAGCATCACCCAGTGTATGAGCGTCTTTTTTCCTTGAGAAGCTCCGCTCTCGAAGCCTATGAGAAATGCATAGACTGGGGGGAAATAGCCCCGCCTTCCCGCAGGCTGCAGCGGGATGTACTTGGAAAATTGTACCATAAAACCACATAGCGTTAATCTCACGTTAAAAAAATTATCGCCGTTAAAATGGCCTTGCGTTAACGCGATAATAACGCGATAATTTTGACAGCACTAATATATATATATATATATATATATATATATATATATATATATATATATATATATATATATATAAAAAAACTGTTTTCTCACCCCTCGTGGGGTGGTATGTGTCATCCTCAAGCTCGGGTCCTCTACCAGAGGCCTGGGAGTTTGAGGGTTCTGCGCAGTATCTTAGCTGTTCCTAGGACTGCGCTTCTGGACAGAGACCTCTGATGTTTTACCTGGAATCTGCTGTAGCCACTCTCCCAGTTTGGGGGTCACAGCCCCCAGTGCTCCAATTACCACTGGCACCACTGCTGCTCTTACTTTCCACATCTTTTCTAGCTCCTCCTTCAGTCCTTGGTATTTCTCAAGCTTCTCGTGTTCTTTCTTCTTGATGTTGCTGTCGCTTGGGATTGCCACATCTATCACTACTGCCTTCTTCTGCTGTTTGTCGATCAACACGATGTCTGGTTGGTTAGCCATCACCTGTTTGTCAGTCTGGATCTTGAAGTCCCATAGGATCTTAGCTCGGTCATTCTCAACTACCTTAGGAGGTGTCTTCCATTTTGACCTTGGGACTTCCAGCCCATACTCATGGCAGATGTTCCTGTACACTATGACAGCTACCTGGTTGTGGCGTTCCATGTATGCACTTCCTGCCTGCATTTTACACCCCGCTGTTATGTGCTGTATTGTTTCAGAGGCATCTTTGCACAGTCTGCATCGGGGGTCCTGCCTGGTGTGGTAGACCCTGGCCTCTATTGATCTTGTACTGAGTGCCTGTTCTTGTGCTGCCATGATTAGTGCCTCTGTGCTGTCCTTCAGTCCAGCCTTTTCCAGCCACTGGTAGGATTTTTTGATATCAGCCACTTCTTCTATTTGTCTGTGGTATACGCCGTGCAGCGGCTTGTCCCTCCATGATGGTTCTCCTTCCTCTTTCTTGTCCTCACTTTCGGTTTTCTCCTGCCTGAGGTACTCACCAAGCCATTTGTCTTTGGGGGCCATCTTTCTGATGTACTCCTGGTTCTTAGTTGTTTCATCCTGGACAGTGGTCTTGACACTCACTAGCCCTCGGCCTCCCTCGCTACGCTTGGTGTACAGTCTCAGAGTGCTGGATTTGGGGTGGAACCCTCCATGCATTGTGAGGAGCTTTCTCGTCTTGATGTCAGTAGCCTCTATCTCCTCCTTTGGCCAGTTTATTATACCAGCGGGGTATCTGATGATTGGCAGGGCATATGTGTTGATGGCTTGGATCTTGTTTTTTTCCATTCAGCTGACTTTTCAGGACCTGCCTTACTCTTTGTAGGTATTTAGCTGTGGCAGTCTTTCTTGCCATCTCCTCGTGGTTTCCGTTAGCCTGTGGCACCCCAAGGTATTTGTAGCTGTCCTGAACATCTGTTATGTGGCCTTCTGGTAGTTCAACCCCCTCGGTTCTGATCATCTTCCCTCTCTTTGAGACCATGCGACCGCACTTGTCCAGTCCGAATGACATCCCAATGTCGTTGCTGTAGATCCTGGTAGTGTGGATCAGTGAGTCGATGTCTCGCTCACTCCTGGCATACAGCTTGATGTCATCCATGTAGAGGAGGTGACTGATGATTGTTCCGCTTCGGAATTGGTATCCGTAGCCAGTCTTTGTGATGATCTGGCTGAGGGGGTTCAGGCCTATGCAGAACAGCAGCGGGGATAGTGCATCACCCTGGTATATGCCGCACTTGATGGTGACTTGTGCTATTGGCTTTGCATTGGCTTCCAGACTTGTTTTCCACAGCTTCATTGAGTTCTTGATGAAGGCTATTAGAGTCCTGTTGATCTTGTACATTTCCAGGCATTCCAGTATCCATGTATGTGGCATTGAGTCATAGGCTTTCTTATAGTCAATCCAGGCAGT